AAAACAAACGCATGATCAAATCTGTTTACTACAATAACTTGGAAGTACAACGATTCCTAATATGACCTTGTGCCAGCATTTTAGACTCCCATCCAACAACTTACAGTGTTTCTATGCTGATATGATGTTAGACTGTGGTATTATCTTTACTATGTCAATCGATGTTTAAAAAAAAAAATCCTAAATGCTACTTTTAGTATTGTGCAGAAATAATAATAAAACATCCTTAGTTTACAAATCTTGGTTCAAGTCTTATCTTAGCAGAAAGCCTGTGCATATGGACACAGCTTCACTGCTATTGCTCTAGGAGCAGGGATCCATACCTTCAAAAGCATGGCCTCGTGTTCAGGGTTGTCTGAGCTGAAGACTTCCTTTCTCAAGTCTTCTACAGATATATACAAGCTGCTGTATCCTGTTATCTGCAGCAGGCAGATGTGGAGGCTCTCTTTGAACCTGCAATGGAAGATCAATTCAATCACATTCAAAAATTCCTCTTACATCAAAGAATTGCAGCTGACAGGCAAAGTAACCTTACTTGGGATCTTTTGCAGGTTTGATGTTCTTCGCTTTCATAATTTGATCCACACATTGCTCTAAGCTATCCTTAGTGGTTTCCAACGCTCCTCTTAAAACCTGCAGAGGAAGAGCGCATGCTAAAGTTATAGCACAGAGAGCTACCAGACAGAAATCTGGCGCAAATGCTTTTAGGTCATTTACAACCACAGTGAAAATGACTGTTTTTTCAAAGTCAACCTCAGAAAAAGAAAAAGATGATACAGCTAATCTCTTCTTGCACCTGCACAGACTATTGATCTAAAAATGCTTACAAAGCCATATACACAGGCATGACATGTGTAATCAGTTCACCTAAACTTGGCTAGGGTAGTGAAAGATAAAGCAATGATTAAACTCAGGGGATATACTGCGCAATAAAAGATAAAGAGGTCAATAGTGAAGGAAAGGGTGATTCCTTCCCACATCTGTGGGCTCGGAAAGCTTTCAGATTACTTGAAAATCCACAATGCTCCAGTCCTGAGGAGTTTATTACACATATCTACACATTCTTAGTCTCCAAATATTCAAAATTTTTTCAAATGTTTGTCACCCAACATCTTTTACTGGCCTGACAGTGCTAAAAGTGGTGAGATAACAGATTTTATTTATGACAGTGCTGAAACGTAAACTGGAAAAGAGTCCCAAAAAACACACACGCACGCCTATAGAAGCTATTTCTGCTGTAGCTTTTAAGAATGTGAGTCTTAAAAAAAAAAAAAAGAAAAAAAAAAGAGCAATTACTGTCTTGCAAAATGTATTTAAACTGTTGTTTGCCTTTTGGCTGACAGCACTTGGATTTTCTTTGTACCGGTTTGTACATTGGCACCTAATATATTAACTTTTTTTTCCATTATGGCCTATATCAAATAACTACTAACAACTAAATTTAAACTAAATGTTGTAAAAAAAAAAATGCACATCTGATACAAAGATCATCAACGATATTTGATTTCAGCCACGTGAAAACAAAATCAGACAAACACACCCCCAGCATTAAGGAGCTGCAACAGGAAATCAGAGGAGCTAAACAGATTATCAGGATCATTGCCAATTAATGTTTGTGCAGACCCACTGTTTGTCTTTTAACAATATAAAACAATTGGTTCAGAACTACTGAAGGTAAGCCCGAAAGAAAAGCCAACAGTGGTAGAAGGTTCTTACCTTGTTCTTTGATGACTGAAGAGAGTACTCTGCAGGAGGACATGAGAAGCACATTAACACTGCAGAGAAAATGTGTACTTGGATGCAGACGTAGAGCAGATTTGGGATGATTTAGCGCACCTGCTTTTGTAGTCCTGGCTGCCCCTGGCTTGTGTCCAGAGCATATTCTCTGCAGCTCACATGTCCCCGTTACTTGTCTGATGAGCCATTTCAACCAGTATCTCAGGAAGGATGTGTAGACATACTCCCAGATATATCCAAACATGTTCTAGGACATAAACAGGGAAAGGTTCACAGATTACTACGGTGCGAGAAATATCCTGAAGACCCGAGGACCACAAAACTATTCTGGAGTGTAAGTTAACAGAGGTGGAGGAAGTACAGCTTTCATTAAATTAAAACCACCATCTTGTACAAGAACAAACCCTGTGATGAAGTTTTACTTAGATAATCACATTTCAGAATTCAAATAGCTTTTATTAGTAAGAGTGAAAGGGAAGGTTCACAATATGCAGTGAGTCCTGTGATGATGTACGGTTTGGTGGCAATAATTAAAAGATAGAAGGCAGAGCTGAAGATGTTAAGGTTTTCATTGGGAGTGACCAGAATGGACCAGATTAGCAATGAGCACATCAGTACATCTGAGTTTTAGCAGTTTGGAGACAGAGATAGACAGGCAAGACTGAGATGGTTTGGACATATGCAGAGGAGGGACAAATGATGTTATAGATGGAGCTGCCCGGGAACAAGAAAACAGGAAAGCCACAGAGTATATTCATGAAGTAGCGAAGGAGAACATGCAGAGGGTTGGGTGTGACAAAGGCAGATGATCCACTGTGGCATCTACTAAAAGGAAAAGCCGAAAGATGCAGGCAACATGTCTGTATTCGTGTTTACCTAAAGTATAAATGAAAAAATAAACTAAGAAGCTAAATTATTAGTGCACTGGTGTGGTTACAGCTCATTAAGCAGAAGCTAATCTAATTCAGTTTTTTTGTTTTGTTTTGTTTTGAATGAAAGAGGGCACTTTTTACAACACAATCCAGTCTTATTCTGAAGCACTAAATGGCATCAAACTGAGAACAGCTTCTTATTTTTGTCCTCCCTTTCGCACAAGCAGATTATTACTTTGATTCTGATTTATTTACATAGCGATAACGTTTGGCTCAAGGTACTGTAAGATAAGACCCTACAGTATTGGAGCAATCAAGCAACTATGAGCAAGCACTTTTGTGACAGTCGGAGGGAGACAGGACAAAAGGTACACTATGGGAGAGAGAACACACAAATTTAAGGACAAGCACTATATAAACATTTAGGGAGTGAAAAGAGGTGAGTGAAGAAGTGCTGAGTGCATCACATGAGGTCCTACAGCAGTCTGGGCCTGTTGCAGCATCACTAAGGAATACGTCAGTGATAGCTGATCCAGCCCTAATTATAACCTTTATGAAAAAGAACATTTTTAAGTCTAATCTTTATTATCATTAATATGTTTGTTGTTGTTGTTTTTATGGACATGGAGTATATTGTGTTCAATTGATATATGTTAGTGCTAAAATACACAATTTAACCAACACTTTTATGACACAGTGAATAAATGCACGTGAATATTACAGGCAAATAAGTTATTCCAACACCTCTAAATTATATTGAACTTTGGATTTGACGGATTTTGGTTCCTGAGTTGGACTCATGTTGCAGATGCACTTCACTGCCGTCTGTCACAGTGACAGTGGCAGTGACCACGTTTTTGGAGCCACTGAGGAAGTACTCTGCTACAAGCAGAGTAATCTATTGCTCAGTGCAAGACATGATTAGTTAACCGTGGGTCATCGCTAAATGCGAATTAACATCCAACAATAAAAGCGCCGAGTAGGTATGAGAGAAGAGCCCACGCTCCTACAGCCAAAACAATGGCTAGCACTGATGCTAATGCTAAGTTCGGACATACGTGGTCATTCGGTTTATTTACAGACACTCTGGGAGTTTAACGGGGCTTTTGAAAGCGGTGCATGTTGATGCTAGCGAAGTGGTAGTGAGCCACTTTTGATATTAATTACGTAAAGGAGCATACCGGCTTCTAAATTCCCCCAAATGACCCGGTTCAGACAACAGGTTGTCATTGTCATTCGTCTGACTGGTAGCTAGCAACACCACGCTAACCTACTTTAAGTTTCGTACGAGTAGCTGATGCGTTGGGCAGTATTTACCGTGAGGGAGTGGTGATGCTCGTCTTACTCTCCAGTCGTAGGGAAAGCGATGCCAGACCCAGGATACAGTCTAACTTAGCCGCAGGCGGGTGGTAAGGTTAGCGGCGGTTCGCCTGACAACAGGCTGGCTGTGATGCGTTCACTGTCTATACAACTATACCGTCTATGCCACGCACACAGCTACACAAGTCTCCCAGGTGACACAAGCTCTTCTTTCTAACCAAGACTTAAACATTGTTTCTAAATGTGCAACTAAGAAGTTAAAACAATTAACAGTCCACGACACACCTCAAAACTTGGGTTGAATTTATCACTAGGCATTAATATCATGATGTCTTTGAACACAGCATGATAGTTTCTAGTGCTGCTGCAGCGCCATCTACTGCCCGCAGTGGTCATGACTGCGCAGACAACTTCACAGCAATTGTCTAAAATTTGAACCAGACACGAAATTTCAGTTAAGTGCAATAAAAACTTACTGGACTTAATAATAAAATGAGATCAAATATATAGAAAAGATCTTTAGTTTGAAAATTTCTCAATTTGATGAAATTTCATTCTAATAAAAATATGAAAGTAAAGATAATCACAAAACACAAAAACCTTCACTTGAAACTAAAGGAAACTAAACTGAAAACATAACTTTGAAATAAAAACAAGTAAAAAAAAAAATCTAACTGAAATAACTCAGACAAGAAAATCCCAACTATAGTAGCTGGAAGCTTTTATCTGCAAATAAGATAATCAGATATTGCATTTTCCAATATTAGCCACAAGATGATGCCAAATTCACAAAATGTGTGCTACACTGTGTAGTAGTCTATCATAGGGCTGTTTATAGAAAATAGTCATATTATGCTGCTGATAATGGTCAACAAGCCTCCATTATTCCATTGTCCGTTCAATTTTTTTAAATGGTGAAAACACACGGCACATAAAGACCCACCACTGTGTCACTTTATCGAAAGGGGCTGCACAAAAGCCCTCACCCTTACCCATTAATCTGCTTTATCGACAATGTATGCAGCCTATTCTGAGATGCTTACCAACGGTGCTCTCAGCTGTAATTAAGTCACAGTCTGCTTTCTCACTGAATCAGTCCCTCTGGGCTTTTAAAGGCAGAACGTCTATCACATACAATTACTGCAGTCCAAGCCCTGCCTCAGACCCAGGCTGTATTTAAATAAGGAATCCCCCCCACCAACACTACCAAAGACTGTATTGACAGTGTAATAGATCAGGGTGAATAAGAGAGTAGTCTATAATGCTACAATTTTGTTTTAACAACCCGGACAGACTTTGCACAAAATCTTTCAAAAGCCCTTCAGATTCGATGAAGTGCTTTTGAAAGTGGTAGGCTACTAAATATTGGCGCTCTCTGTCAGTGCTGTTATCCCCGAGGATGAGATGCAGAAGGGGTGTCACAAAACTAAAGCAAAGATCCAATGATGTCAGCAAGTACAACAACTCCTAAAAGACGAATCAAGTCAATAATATCACCTAAAGGGAGCCATACGAACGCGTATGGATCGCTGTCTCTGTGAGAAGGATGGCACTGTGTAAGTGCTTCCACAACTTTATACTGTCTTCGACATCAAAATTAAAACCAGGCTGGTTTCTGTATTTCTTGGTTTACTCATTCTGATCTACATTTTAATCTGCCAGTGATCACAAGAATTCGCTGTGAAAGTCTTTTAAAACATGGGAAAATACTTGTTTAAATCTGTACGCCTCCAGGGCAGTAGTTTCCACATTTTAAAATTCATGATCCTTTAAATTCCTCTTTGAGATTCATAACATTCCAGTGAGCTGTGAGCTTGCATAAAGTTATTAATGTTTCTCTGTCCTGATCAGCATTTCTGCTCTTTCGTATCTCTTATCATACATTTCACCATCCATCCATCCATTTATCCAGATGGCTGCCTCTACCTGAGTCTGGCTCTGCTTAAAAGCGAATTCTATTTCCCCACTTTCGCCAAAATGCTTGCTCACAGATTCTCTCTAATATTCCAAAATCACCTTAAACGACAGTATAAAGCACATTGAGACACCTGTTACTGGATCGTAATGTGAGCAGACTTCTGCTTTGTCATCTTCTTTATCATTACATTCATGTTAATGTTCAGGGGCAGGGACACGTGTGTGGGATTTGTAACTACCAGGGGCGTCACTAGGTTTTAAGGACAGGGGGGGCTTAGCCCCCAAGAGATGCACACGATATGAACGAACGTAGTGAATAAGCACAAAATTTCACAAACAGAAAACAAGACTGAGAAATTGTTTTCCTACTTTTTTGGACAGATTAAACATCCCAGGCCACCAATAGATCTATTGTTTTATTTCAGTCTGTTTTATAATACAGTACAACAAGAAAACAGAAGAAATGTGTTTGCTGCATCAATAACAAGAAAAAAACTGAAAATAAAAAAGTACATCATTTTTATGGCTGCAATCACCAGTTACTTGGTGGGTGGAAGCATCAAAGAATGACGTCTGTTTTTAAGAGTGGCAAATCGGTCAATCACTCTGTTGTGACTCAGATGCTGAAGCGTGTCTTTTTCAATAGACATGACTGCAAGACTGTGAAGTCTTTTCTGACCCATTGTTTGACGCAGCCAGGAGTGCAGCCGACGCAGTGCACTAAAGGACCTTTCGCACGAGCAGCTGCTGACAGGCACTGTTAGGGCAACTTGGATGGTTGCCTTCAGAGAGAGAAACATGTCTGAATCAAGGAGGTTGTACACAGACAACATATTTTGGGTGGACATCCAGCCTCTGTTTTCCGGGTAAGAAAGTTTCTGGCCACCAGAACCTCCTCTTTTTTCAGGTCAAGTCTGAAGTGCTTTGCAAGTTCATTCAAGTGTGGTTCACTCAAGAAGTTCTCAGATTTAGGACTGCATGCCTGGATGCCTTTTAGCAGCCCTGCATCTAAACTGCAAAATCTTTGATCAAGCTCACCAACCATCCAATCCACACAAGGGAAAAGTAACTCTCTTTTCAATGTGTCTGAGTTGTTCAATTCAGTGCGTGAACCCACAGTTGCCTCCAGGACAAAATCCTCCATTTTCCTCTGCTTGTGCCTTGTCTTGGCACCTGCTTCAGGGATACTGTGGGTGTTACACAGGGCCTTGGTTTTCTCATACAACTCTGTAGCAAATGCATCTGAGTGTTTGCCCTTAAGTGTGTCACACACAGCTTGTTTGCAGATAAAAGCTTCTGCCAGGTCTAAAGTCTCTTTCTGCAAGAATTTGTGGAGTCCTTCGGTTACAGACAGAATCGACTGAAACATCAGTAGTGCATAGACTGCTGAGAACTTGTAGAGCTTTGCTCTGAGACCAACAGCTATGGGGGATTCAATTGCAGATAGGCACTCCAAAATGGCAGGCAATGTCTCAAGAACTGCACTGATTGATCGCAATTGACATGCCCAGCGAGTGTTTGAAAGTTGCACAAGCTCAGTTTTTGTCAATCCAAGCTTTGCCTGAGTCTCCATGAACTTATGATGATTGACTAGGGAAGTGCTGAAGAAAGAATACACACACTCCAACAAGCTGAAAAGCTCCACAGCCTCTGGGACAGCCTTGCAAGTATTGCACAAAACCAGGTTAAGTTGATGAGCATAACAATGCACATAGATAGCCTCAGGATGGAGCCTTCTAAAATGTGCTTGTACACCTCCAGTGGAGCCACTCATAACGGCTGCACCATTGTAGCTGTTGGCATGATGACATTGTATATAATTTGTATTATTTCTTTATCTTGTCAAGATTCATGTCATGATTGTAAATTGTTTAAGCTGTACATTACTTTGTTTGTTTTTTGTAGTCAACGTTTTGGTGCTTTTATTTTGAAAGTCAAGTTCACTTACAAGTTGTGCTAGTTTCCTCTTTGGGTAGAAAGAAGAAAAACACCTGTAAACGCGCAGAAAGGATGGTTTTTATTGAAAGACATGTTAAGTGGACTTTAACTACACACGGTTAAACGGTTAAAGGAAACCTCAGAAGAACGGCGGCTAATTCCCTTTTTTGCAGCATGCAGCCAACGAGGTATTTATTTATTTATCGTGTTGTTGTACAGTGTTTTTACTGCTGTGTCTTACGCTGAGTTTTATTTTGTTAATGCTGTATAGTTTTCACGGTGGCTTTGGAGAGAAGTCTTCAAATAAACCAGTGACAGAAAACCACTTGCATCTGCCTGTGCTTCGAGGGAATTATAACCATCATATGTTTGTGCTACACATTTAAGCTCTGCAAGACCATAGTTTTGGATCTGCTGCTGAATCTCATTTGCAATGGACTGGGCATCAAATGATTTTATCTCTGCTAGTGCAAGGAAACGCTCCTTCACTGCCCCCTCTGACACGTACCTGACACAAACAGCTAACTGCTCTGCCTTTTCCTCCCTTGCCTCATCTGCCATGATGGCATAGACTTTAGACTTTGTCATTTCAGATACAATGACACTAGTAACTTCCTGGGCACAACAGTCAATCATGTCATTCTGGGATGTTGGCGAGATATACTGTGCATTTGATGGGGGATTATGTTTTTGAAGAA